TTAATGAGGAAAAAAAATTAACTTAAATGATTTTAGCAAATGGCTGCAATATAACAAAGAGTGAAAAATTTAAGGGGGTCTGAATACTTTCCATACCCACTGTATATATATTTCTCTGATTATCTTTTTTCTTTCTAAAATCCCTTAGGAAAAAAATAAAAAAGATACAAGTGTGCTGGTGTGCTTGTGACTGCTGAAACACTGCAGATTGTGCTGACTGATGTGTGTGTGTGTGTGTGTGTGTGTGTGCGCGTGATGTAAACAGGCCTCTCTACAGTCCAGAACAGAAAAGTCTTGAACACAGAGTTAAAGCACACCATATACCGTCCCTGCCTTTAAAAACAACACTCTCCATATCACTGAGATAAGACTGTGGCCCCTCATAAACTACCGCTGTAAGACCTGCCACCTACTTTCTTTATGTTTAACATTTCTATTAATGTTTCTATTTCAATTATGTATTGCCATTTACATTAACACACACATACACAAAAGATTTTGAATGTCCTGGCTTCTCTTTCCATAAAATAAAAGTGAATGGGAACAGTCAAGACAAAAAGCACTAAAAAAGTAACACAAAATATCTTATTTTGTGATCCAAAGAAGAAAATCATTGCCTGGAACGAAATAAGGGCATGGAAATGATGACAAAATGTCAATGGGAAACAAATTCTGTACACTGTACTCAAACTTTTGCTCTGATTGTGTTTGAGAAACCACAGACATGCCATGACAGACAGTCAGAAGAATTTTAAAAGAAAGGCTCGCTTTTAGATCTTAAATCACAGACCTCCTTCTCAGCAGGCAGTCATTGAATCCTGCCGGTATCTTGAGAAGAGAAGCTATCTGTATTGTGTTATTTGAGCTATGCAATGTCATAACTATTGAGGTTATAACAGCAAGACAGCGTGCTTGAACCAGCTCTCTGCAGTGTGCAGACATCAACGGTCTTTGATTCTTTCCACCTTGATGCTCCTGTCACTTCTCTAAGATTTTCCTGAGGTTCTTCATTCACTTTCCTGATCCTCTCAGTCGGTGAGACCACAATCTAACTCAGGCTCTGTAGACCCTCCACCCGGGAGAGAACAAAGCCTGTGGAACTTCATCTGCACATTCCTCCCACACCTCTCCCTTAATCTGTGGCCAGAGGAAAGAGCCTGGCATCCCCGCAAAGACCAGAGGACCTTTGATCCTCCTCAAGGTGACCCAGGATGAAGGAGAGCAGAGGCTGAGAACTAAGGAGTGATAATAGGGCAGATTTCTCAAATGGGAATGGATCTACACACCTGGCACACCTGGATATATTACTACAGGTGTGAGCACCTATTCATGACATTGCTTGACTATTCTTAAAATATAACACATTGCAATATTTCAATTCTATGTGCAACTTAAATATAATAACTACTAATTTATAAAATAAAATAAAAATTCTTAGTTTCAAATGCAGTACCTACGCCACCCAAACCATATTTTCATTAAGCATAGTTTTAGTTGTAGTAATAGATGTTTTGTGCATATATTTTAAAACAGTCCCATTTTAGAAAGAACGGCGGCAGTATAGGTAAGGTCATGAACCAGAATCTGTTATTGCTCTTAGCCTGTGACTTGTCAGAGAGAAATGCTCTCATTAGTGGAAACAGAAACTTTTTATATTGAGTTTTATGATGGAAAGCAGGATCTCATCAAGGTAGAGCCATTTGGCAATCCCATCAGTCTTTCCATGATGAATGAGAAACTCCTATATTTTGGGCTATTTTTGTCACATTATTGCCAAGTGGTTGAAGCTTTATGGGAGTTTAATAGTTCTATATGTGCAAAATAATACAAAATAAGCACATATGATAATTGATTTACTACTTCATATAACATTACCCAACCTACTAGGCGAAGTGACAGGTGAACATTAGCGTATTAAACTGCAGCTATTGCTGCACTTAGACTGAGTAATTTTTGTTATGACCATGAGTTTTGTAATACTTCATATTTCAGCTCAAAAACCTGCATGCTCATATTAAAAAAAAACCTAAAAACTTGCAGTCAAAGAGAGACACTTTCACTGAGAGGAACTTCCACTGACCTGGTGTAGACGCCATTTTTGCGGCAGAAGGAATTTTTGACGGACAGTCGTCGATTGTTCAGTTCCAAGGCAGGGAAACGGCTCTCGTCCAGGCTGACCATCTCTCCATGTGTCAATGCATTGCAGTTGGAATTGCTGCCTGTATGGATGAGATATGGCGATATTAAGAGATCATTAAGACAAAGTTTGAACCAAAACTGAGATGTTACAAATTTTGATCTGATGACGGTGATGCTTTAGGTCTTACTAAATTAATTGAAACAGAAATTAATTTTGTTATGGGGTCGATCATAATAACAGGATGCAATGCCACCAAAACCAAAAGGCCATTTAATCTCTACATTTTGGCTCAACACCCTCATTAAGATAAAACGGTTCTGGGCTGGCAGGTGGTGTTGTGTGAATAGTGCATACGTGTGTGTGTGTGTGTGTGTGTGTGTGTGTTGGACATTTGTGTGATGTAGTGTGTTTTTGTGTGGAAGCAAAAACTGGGCCTCTCATGCTCCCTCAGTGTGTTTAACATGTTTAGTGACCCACATGACTGTCCCACCCCTCAGTACTGTTGTGGTCTGCCTGCTCTTACTACAGAAATGCTGACCACACACTTACACACACATTCCACACTGATGATGTCACAGAAACAACAATGCTGTTTCATTCAACACACCTCTCCCTGAATGACCCTTTGACATAAACAAAACACACACACAAACATACAAACAGACAGACAGAAAGAACGATAGACAAATAGAATGATAGAAAAAAATGACAGACAGACTGAACAATAAATGGATGGATGGACACAAACAGACATAACTACATATAGACAGAACAATAGACAGACAGAAGAAACGATAGATAGGTAGATAGATAGATAGATAGATAGATAGATAGATAGATAGACAGACAGACAGACAGACAGACAGGCACATACTTGAGTCAGATTTCTTAGCATATTTCTTGCTCTGGCCTCTGATGATGAGGATGAAAACTAGAAGCAGGATGAAAATGAGGCCGACCAGAGCAACCACCACCAGAAACCACCATTCCTCATAGAACGGAGCCACTTTTTGTGCTGGAATTAAAAACAAATGTATATACTATTAGAAGAATTGACTTTGGTATGATTTTCAGATTGATTTTCATTTTGAAGGTTTGAACTAACCTGATATGGATGGTGACGGTTGGCTTGGAGATCCGTACCCATAATCATTCACCCCGATGACCCGGAAGTCATAGCTGACTCCCTGTTTTAAGATATCCATGTTGAAGGTATACGAAGTCACTTCCTTGGGAATGTCCTTGATTAAGATGTCCCACAAGCCTTCATCTGGAACATTTTTTTTTAAGATAGAAAAATGGCTAGTCAATTCATTGCAGCATAGTTTATATAAGTCATAAGTTCTATGAGTCTGATCACCTTAGAGAAACAGCACACACAAATATGAAAACCATGTCATTATTTACTTACCTTCATGTCATTCTAAATCCGTATACAAGTTTGAAACAACATGGGTGTGAAAAATGTTAATAATTACCACATTTTTGTTTTGGGATATACAGTGCCTTTAAGAATGCACTGTTTGTGTGTGTGTGTTTAACACTCCAGCAGCTGTCAGAGCTAATAATTCAGAGGTGAGACCTCATCAAATAAAATTTTATCACAATATAGATCACATGTCATTTCAGCTATGTCTAATGTGTTTAATGTGCTACCGAGAACCCCAAGTGCCTTCAGGAGCAGTGAAGAGAGAGAGAGAAAGTAGTGCTGGTGTCATGTGCCAGGCCTGGTAGAAAAATTACAGGGTTAGATCTTCAGGGCAGAGTGTGAAAATAATATTCCACCTCTACGGCACATGAATGGCATGCAAAGATGGCCTGGCACACATCACACTAATGTATGGGTCTTTAAATCAATCCCATCTGCTCCTCCCCCAGAACTCACTCTTTTCTCATTCGAGCACAGCTTCTCCTCAGTCACTGAGGGAATCTGATCTGCTTTGTCTCAGTTGGACCGCTCACATCAATATATCTCCTTCATCGGACACAAGCTGCCGTCAGCATCTTTTTTCCAGACTGAGGCATATGGAATCACTCTTCATTGTTTGGAAGAATTTGTATCTAGGAATTTGGTTGATGAATGTGCTGCCAAACGGACCTCGTGCTAAGCATGGGCCTTAAAGTCAGAGAGAATGAATATTTGATTTGGGTTTACTCATTTCCTTGAATACAAGTCTTGAGTTGGCTCTTCTAAATCAGACAATATTGAGTTAATTTTCACTTTAAACTAAAATGTACTGAATTCAGTTTAGCCTATTTCAGTACAACATCTATTTGGGTTTTATTTTTGTCACTGTTCAAGTGGAGCAGCATTCGCTGTGAACTGAGCTGCTCTGAGACACTGAAAACACTGGATCATAAGCTGCTCGTGTGTAAATGAACACAGTGCCGCACTTTACTCTGGAAAACTTTAGGTTGCACAGAACATGTGACCATTTCTATTCTATTTTTGTCATTTTAAGAAATGACAGGAAATTTGAAGACAAGAGGAAAGTAATTGGTGCATAAACAATTTGCAAAATGCAAATTGGTATCTTAAATAACCTCACCTGAGGGCCTGGCCTCTATAACATAGCAGGTGATAGGTGCTCGCCCGGGATCCCCATTGGTCCAGTGGATGGTGAGGGCGGAGCCATATCGGGAGATGAAGGGCTCACCGGGAGGGCCCGGGGCTCCTGATCACAAAGAAGCAATGGGGTTACATGAACTTACGGAAATTGCTTAGCTGAAATTGTACGGAGGGACAGAGAAAGCATGCAGACAGACCTTCTCCAGGTCCTGTGGTGATGTTGGCCTCCACCTCTGGACCGTAGGTGAAGGTTTTGGCGCGAATGCGGAAGTTGTATGTGACGCCATCTGCCAGGTCTTTGATTTTCAGCCACAGAGGGGCGTTCCCCTTCACGTCCACCGTCACGATCTTACTGACGCCTGGGGGGGAGGGGGAGTGAAGACAGTCGACACAGGCCACTGAGGACTCTAGACAAACACACTACTTTTAGTTCAGGCAACAGGAGCTCAACACACACTCACACGTGGGTGTAGATCTCATCTCAACAATTTTGTTGGCCCCTGAATAATGATTGCAAGGTCCAGAATGAACACTCATCAAGCTAAATGCGAACAAAATGGCTTTGGCCAGTTAAAAATTTGGCTGGTAATTTTGTTAGGCTTTTTATTTTTATAATTTTATAATTTAGGTAATTTTAGAATTTTTGTAGCGTTTAAGTTGACTTGAAAGAACGATAATTTGATGCACATTGTACATTTTTAAAGACTCCTAAAGTTTTCTCCAGAAATATGTCGAGACCAAGCCACTAAACGGCACCAAAATGAGTTGTGACAGGTGCTGTTTCAACAGAGAATAGTTTATCTTTGTTTATGTTAACTAAAACTATTAAATAATTTTTTTTAAATCGAAATGAAGCTAATATAATATATAAATATTAGATGAAAAAGTTCAACTTAAAAATAAAATAATTAACTAAATTAACTTTATTAAACAAAAACTTTATAAAAAAAAAACTAATAAAATTGACAAAAGCACATAACAAAATGACTAAAATATAAAAATATAAATATAAAAACATAAAATAATGTTTTTTTATGAAAATATAAAAAAGATCATTCAAAATATTATTAAATACTATAATAGTAAATAAATATTAAAATAATACTGTTTGTGAGTGATACCAAAATTACATGTGCTGTTTTTCAGAAATAAGCAAAGAAAAAATACCTAAATAATTTTAAATAACAGTTAAATTATTCAAAAAATAATATTTTTAGAATAAAAATAATGCAAAATATGGTTTCATGGGCAGTTAAAATATTTATGGATAGTATCTTTTCAATTAACCCACCACTGGTAAGTGTGGAAAATGTTAATTGTGGACCCTGATTGATTATAATATTCACAATTTGATGTTCGCACAATTCTGGAAGGAAAGTTTCTTCCCGGGTCCAACACCCCTGGACGGACGGACGGACGCACGCACACGCACACACGCCCACACACACACACACACACTCTCTCTATTCTGTGACTACTAACTGACTATATCCATTAAACTCATGATTATCTAATAATGGTAGTAAGGTTTTAGAAAAAGGAATTTTGAAGCTAAAGGTGTTGTGTTATGCATGAAATCTGAAATCTATACATGAAAAAAGAAAGGCACTTACCATCAACAGGCATGCAGGGCTCGTAGATAAGTCTGTAACCCTCAAGGATGCCGTTAGGGAAGACAGGCTCGCCCCACGACACGTTGACAGAGGTGGTGGTAAGCTCACTGAAATGGATGAAACTGGGAGCACTGGGAGCTGAAAGAGAAAACATCTGCTAATCAGGAGAGACCATGACTGACAGTCTCAATGACTTAAACGTGTCTGCCTGTCTCCCTTTCCTGGAATTAAGACTTTAAACCCTTTTTTGAACAAAAAATGGCTACAACAAAATTACCTGTCATTCTGTGCCTGTTTCTATCTCTGGGGGAAAAAGAAAGAGAGCAGACATGATATAGAGACAAATCTTTTTAGACGAAGGAGAGGAAGATAGACACAGCTTGTGAGAAGATTGTCAGACTCTTGCTGATTTATTGTGCTGCCTTCACTATGTATTTCAGCTCCACAGCTTGAGACAAAACCATTTAATGTCAGTCAAAGTGTTTTCTGGAAGAGCAATTTAAGATATCGACAAAAACTGTTAAGCTATTATATGTAGTTGAAACCACAAGCAAAAACAATACTCTTTAGTATGTCAACAGTACTTCAACCAGACATAATAAGTGGTCTTAAAGGGTTAGTTCACCCAAAAATTAAAATTGGCCCACAAATTACTCACCCTCAAGTCACCCTAGGTGTATATGACTTTCTTCTTTCAGACAAATCCAGTCGGAGTTATATTAAAAATTGTCTTTGATCTTTCAAGCTGTTTAATGCGGGTGTTGCATGCATCAGTTCAAAATAAGTGAAATAAAAAGCGCCCATCCATTAAAAAAAAAGTGTCTCACACGGCTCCGGGGGGTGAACAAAGGCCTCCTGTAGTGAATCGATGCATTTTTATAAGAAAAATATCCATATTCAAAACGTAATAATCACTTTAATGTAGCTTGCGCCAACAGTTGTACACAGAAGCAGTTCCGGGAGCATGACGTATGAGGTCAGCGTTGGTGAGTCTCGTGAAAACCAACGTTTGTTAACAGGAGCAAAGGAAGCAAAGTTTCCTTACTTT